GACGTCGCTGAGAGCGGTGGCGAGTCTGCAATCGATGCTCGCAAAGCCTCCGCTGTCTTGTAAATCTTCAGAGGTGCACTCGGGCTGTTCAGCCACGAATAGGAAGGCAGATGCTTTGGAAGGGGCGCCCTGCAGCGGCCCCAAAGTTCTCCCGTGCCTTTCGCTGCCACTCGACCAGCTGTGTGATCTTAGGCAAGACAGGGACTCTGACGGTGTCTGACTCCTTAATCGGAATAGTAGTATTGACCCAAGCCGCAGGCAGCGGTTGCGAGGGCACCGGTACACCGTCGGTAGTTGGTTCTGTGCGCACGGGGGACACGCGGCGCGTCCGTGCTGAAGCTACCGCGGAGGCTGCTCCTGGTGACGTACGTCTTTGTTGTCCTGCAAAAGCGCGCGGTGCTTCAGCGGACGCCGCCGTCGGCCTGGATAGGCCTGGCGAAGGCTGAAGGTGAAGTGTAGTGTCGTCGGTGTGGTCAATCAGTAGATTTGTCCAGTTCGTCATGTCCTCGTGCATTTGGTCCACTTTCTGGCGCGAAGAATCGTCGGTGTCCCGAGAGCGCTGGGAATGCCGATCGAGTCGTTGCTCGTAGGCTCGGAGACGGGCGTTGCGTGCCTCCATTTCACCTTCCAGACGTGTGAGACACTCCTCAACACGTACCTTTTCAGCATCTCTGCCCCGAATGGCCTGGGAGAGCTCAGACTGCGCGTGGTCCGCCGCTGTCTTAACTTCCTGCAACCGGTGAGTGAAGCGGGCGAAATCGTAAACCGTAGGAGGAGATCCCAGCTGATCAGTCTGGGTTCGTCCGACACGCAACTCTGCCAGGGCGCCCTGTACATCAGGTAAACGCTGCTCGGTTACAGAGATCCAGTTACTGAAGGGGCTGCACGACAGCGTCGGTCGCATCACGCCCTTGAGCGATGACTCTCTCAGCATTTTGCAACATGCCGATCAGGGTCGACGAGTTGGTATTCGCTTCAGCGCGAAGCGTCGCCGCAGTGTGGTCCACGTGCGATCGAAGATCACTGAGTTGGGACTGGACGTCGCCGAAGTCGCGTGCCTCAGCTGGAGGCGGTCGGTTTTGGAGCTGGTCGTGGATCTCATCGTGAAGGATCCTGGCCGCTGGAACGCCTGTGTCGCGGACGATCACAAGCTGTTGCTCCATCTGCGCAAGGTAGTTGCGCAGGTGCTCGACCGTCGCCGACCGTTCACCTGAGCATGACATCTCACGGTCAACTTGAAGCTGCAGCTCTCCTAAGATACGACGGTCTTCAGCGATCCTGGAATCTATGATCGCTAAGGCGCCGTCGAAATCTTGACGTAGGGCAGCAGTGTTGGCAGCGTTCGTCTGAACGCTCTGCATCAGTCCAGAGCACTGCCCGGACACGAAGGTTTCGATCCGGTCTCGCAGCTCAGCAAGTTCGCCTGCAGCGGACGTGGCCGCCGGCAGGTCGTCTGAGAGGAAGAGGTGAAAAGCGTCAGCTCCCTGTTGCATCCTCTCGCGAGGAGTGCATGGCCTCTGGGAGGCCGCACGCGGGCTCGACCCAGTCTCGTCGTAGGGGCCTGTGGCCTCACGACGGTTACGCATGGACGAGCTGCGGCTCGGGCCGCGCGTGCGGTGTCTGACGGGATGATACCTTGGGATGCTGCGTCTGCGGCTGCGCCGCCACTGGTCTACCGAGCTCCTCAAAGGCGGCAACATGCTCCGACACTGGAACGGTCGCAGGACTGGTTGGGCCAGCACTGGTGTTCCAACGGCGGTTAACGCGAAAGCGCCCAGGAGTACCGGTACCAGCGGGGTTTGCGCCCGACGCCGTAGGGATTGTTCCCGACGGAAGAAGAGGAGATGGAGGGTCGAAGGTAGGCGTGTGAACTCCTCCACTGCCTGCTCCTACTCCTTCTCCTGTCCCCCCGTGGGCGGCGTGGCGTCGAAATTCAGCAGCTAGCCGCGCCTCGGGTCCGTCTGAGCTGGGGGGGTATCTGGGACACCCACACGGTCACCTCTAAGGCTCTCCAACTCATCACCGATCCGTCGCGCCGTCGGAGAGCTCGGACGCGATGCCTCGAAGGATCCCTTACGGCGCATGCGCCGCTTGGGCCCCATCGAGGCCGCGAGCGAGATCGCGGCGCAGGGGTCGGTGAATGGTGAGATCTAAGGGCTGACAACCTGTGTACGGGGTCGGAGCACAAAGGTACAGAACCCCTGATCCGTTGGTAGAGGATAGGAGGGAAAGATGGAGATTTTTCCTCCTGTGCGATCAAAGGTCTGATCGATACCAATACCTGAGCCCAAACGGCCAGGAGCAGGAGAATAAGGAGTATATATGAGGGTATTACACGGGTTCTATTCACACCGTAGGCTCGGGCGGCGACATGTTTCCACACCACTCGTGGTCCCACGGCTTCGGGCCCCGAGGACAACACAAATCGACCCGGCTCGAAAAGAACACTTCCTCTTCCCTCTCCTCTTCCTCTTCCTCCTCCCCCTCCTCCTCCTCCTCCTCCCCCTCCTCATCCTCCACTCCTTCTCCTTACTGTCGCACCCCGAGGCCAGTTCTTAGGGCGGGCAGGGCGTTTTGCCTGAAATGTCCTCACCATGTGTGATTCTGAAGCTTAAAAACTGGCAACAGCTTCACAGATGGAGGGCGGGTCGCTTGCAAAATGTGGTTCTCCCCCTAGCGCCGCGCACACTCGCTTTAAACAGTTGCAAGAGTTTCACGGATTGAGTGCGGGTGGTTTTCCAAATGTGGCTCTCGTCTTAGCGCCGCGCACATCCGTTTCAAAATGTGCAAGAGATTCACGGATTGAGGGCGGGTCGTTTTCAAAATGTGGTTCTCGCCTTTGCGCCGCGCACATTCGTTTTCTACTTGCAAGGAGCTGCACCGATTGAGAGCGGGTCGCTTTCAAAATGTGATTCTCGCCCCAGCGCCGCGCACATTCGTTTTAAAAAATGTGCAAGGGGTTTCACGGATTGCGGGCGGGTGGTTTTCAAAATGTGGCTCTCGCCTTAGCGCCGCGCACATTCGCTTTCAAAATTTGCAGGAGCGTCACAGATTGAGGGCGGCTCCTTTTCAAAATGTGGCTCTCGCCTTAGCGCTGCGCACATGCGTTTACATATGAAAGAGTTTCACGACTTCCCATGATCAACGTACCAGAGCTGGCGCTTTGGAAGGATTCAGAATTATGCGGGCACAACAGTTATGTTAATTCGCTGTGTTGAAATCCAAAAATTGACGTTCTGGCACAATTCTGGATCGTCAAGACGCAGCAGTCAGGTTGATACGTGGCGCTGAAATCCCGGGAACATTTTTTGGCACGCTCCAGGATCTTCAAACTGTTGTCTTCCAACGAGGCAGTTCCCTCAATGGAAATGAACCGCTGTAGGGGCCTATGAAGAGGGACCTTGCAGGGAGGGTTCATTCCAGCATCGTTGATGACGCTTTGCTTTCCACTGGTCCTCCTCCTCCTCCTCCTCCTCCTCCTACTCCTCCTCCTCCTCCTCATCATCATCATCCTCCTCCTCTCCCTCTCCCTCCTCGTCCACCCCTTCTCCTTATGACTAACTTCTCCCTGTCGCACCCCGAGGCCAGTTCTTAAGGCGGGCCGGGCGTTTCGCCTGAGACGTCCTCACCACTTATGACTCTGAAGTTTGAAAAGTGGCAACAGCTTCACAGATCAAGGGCGGGTCGTCTTCAAAATGTGGCTATCCCCTCAGCCCAGCACTCATTCGTTCTACAAACTTGTCAGAGCTTCACGGATGGAGGGCGGGTGGTTTTCAAAATGTGGCTCTCGCCTGAGCGCGGCGCACACTCGTTTAAGAATGTGTAAGAGCGTCACGGATTGAGGGCGGGTGGCTTTCAAAATGCTGCTCTCGCCTTAGCGCCGCGCATTTTGGTTTTTTAACTTGCAAGACCTTCACGGGTTGAGGCGGTTCCTTTTCAACATATTGAGGGCGGCTCCTTTTCAAAATGTGGCTCTCGCCTTCGCGCGGCGCACGTCCGTTGTTAAAATTTGCAAGGAACTTCACGGATTCCCATCACCAACGTGTCAGAAATGGTGTTTTGAATGAATTCAGGATGATACGGGTGCAGCAGGCATGTGGGCACCGACAACTGCACCTCCATTGAAACAGCCAGCAAAACGGCAAGGCGAAGCACTTAAATTTGTAGCGCGGGGTTGGCCAAGGCGAAGCACTTAAATTTGTACTGCTAAACTGGCCAGCGATTTTTTTCGCTCAAAGCAAATATTCGATGTACGCCTGAAGTGAAACAGTCCACTGTAATACGAAATCCCCTTGAAACATAGCGGCTCCACCAGTGAGAAAAATGAGGGGCGGGAGGAGGAAGAGGAGAAGAGAGAGAGGGGGCGAGAAGGCGAGAAGGAACAGTTATGCTGATGCGTTGTGTTGTAGTCCCGGGAGAAATGGTGTTCTGGCACGATTCAGGATTTACAAGACGCAACAGTCAGATTGATCCGCGGCGTTGGGATCCCGAGAACAATGTTTTGGCATGGTTCAGGGTCTTTAAACGGTTGTCTTCCAAAGGGGCAGCACCTTCAATGGAAATGAACCGTTGTAGGGGCATGTGAAGAGGGAGTTCGTAGGGAGGGCTTATCCCAACATTGTTCATGACTCTTGGGTTTGCACTGGTCCTCCTCCTGCTCCTCATCCTCCTCCTCCTCCTCCTCCTCCTCCTCCTCATCATCATCATCATCATCATCATCATCATCATCATCATCATCATCATCATCATCATCGTCGTCGTCGTCATCATCATCATCATCATCATCATCATCATCATCATCATCATCATCATCATCATCATCATCATCATCATCATCATCATCATCATCATCATCATCATCATCATCATCATCATCATCATCATCATCATCATCATCGTATTCCTCCTCCTCGTATTCCTCCTCCTCCTCCTCATCCTCCTCGTCCTCCCAGCTGGGAAGGGCTCGCCAGGCTCGGGCGGGCAGCGGCGGAGGTCGCGTCCTTCGGCTGTTGGGGCTCGCCCGC